CGCGGGCCCCCCCGCCCGCCCCGCCACGGGGTGTGTGTTGCCGCGTGTGTGCCAGCGGCCTGAGCTGGCTTGGTCAGAGGAGCCTTTCAGAACTCAGCTATTTACTGATTTAACCCTTAATGAGGAATTACAATTGTTAATATGCAGGGTTTACAAAGCGATCTTTGTCATAACTGAGAGCACGTTGTCACGCTTGCAGTGCATAGTGGTGGCTTCCACAAAGTTGTGTGACAGGTTTAATAATTCACAACACATGTTCTAAACTCCATGCGCCAGCCACATCGAGAGGAAACCCACATCTTCTGGCTCTTTTTTGAATTGTTCTCATCTTTCTAAATTGGGAGCTTGGCCTGTGTGCTACGGAGGAGAGGAGGCTTTGCTTTGTTTCCGTGGCAGAAGTAACAATAAATGGACTGACTTGGAACTTGCTTAGAGATCACCAGCAATGCCTGGGGTCTGGTGGACTGGAGGATATAAAAAGTTTACTTAGAACTAGTGCATTGAAAGAGACTTATCAGTACAGGTGAACAAGGCAAAGTATTATATGAAAATTAAGAACAGCAAAGCTGTTTTGGTCCAAGGATGCAGAGGGTCTACCCCAAAATTATGCCTAAACTTGGTTGGCCTAGGAGCTCCCCAAACTTTACTTACTGCATTGATTTTATTCTGCTATATTGATGATTTCACTGACTACAATGGAAGCTTAGGAAAATAATTTACATACAGACATGGTACACACATAAATTTAGGGGTTGAATCTGGCACTGATTCACATCCCACAAACCCCCTTTTGAATCTAAATCCAAATGATGTTTTTAGAAAGAAGGCAGAACAGTCCAAGCAAGTACAGCCTTGTAAAGTCTTGAAAGTGTAAACCAGAGTAAAACCATGTGTAAGTACATGTGTAAGCAACCATGTACTTAACTGAAGAAAGCTCTACCCAGCTTGTATTGGATTGTGGCGATGGACATTGATTTTTCCTTTTTCTTACTGCTAACTTGTTTGTATTCTGGCTTATCTCAGGCATTTGCTGGTGGATCCACCATGAGGTGCGTGCTGTCTGTGCCCAGATCCAGGAGCAGAGTCTTTGTTTGCAGACAGTCAGCTCCTGTCAGCTCTGCCCCATTAGGCGGGCTCAGCCAGTGGCTCCAGCTTCTTCCAGGCTCAGGGCACTGTCCCTGTCACCTCATGCCTTGGCTTCGCTCAAGAGCTGCTACTACTGCTTCCTGCGTGGAGAGGGCTGGAGCTGGAGATACCCTCACTTGGACTCCATCAAGCACTTCCCACTGCAAATTATCACCCCAGATGATCTCAGAAGTGGCCTTTGCTCCCTACATCTGACAAGAGGTCCTCTGGACAGAGGGCTTCTGGCCCTGACTGCTACTGCAGCGTGGGCTGTACAAAGCTCAGCAGCCATTGTGCAGTCTAATCCTGTCCGTGTAAATGCTCACAGTAATACCTGCCTGTTAGCATAATTGGGTCTCTGTTCTTCCACTCTTGCTCCAGTGAAGATGCTCTGGAGTTTACTGCCATAGCGTAACTGTCTCAGTGCATTAGCCTAGGAATGAAGCACACTGCATGTGCACAGCCAGGGCATCTGGAGGAGAGGCATCGGAGACTCCTTGCTGTCCCATGGAGGGCACAAGGATATTCCTTGTGTACCCAAGGGTTTAGCTCACCCATCCGCAGCTGTGGGAGAGCAAGGCACCTCCTCTGAGGCAGGTGTCCATGATTAATAGGGACAAACTGTGCTTGTGAGCTGCCATCTCCTGCCGTAGGTGTGCAAGGGACCCAGAATTTATCAGATGTAACCACTGCCTGGCTGTCTCCATTTCCTGCAGAGTTGGTCTAGCTTAGAGGGCTGACTTCTACACAGCTAAAATTAAACAAGATGAGTTTCAGTTGTCCTACATGAAAATTTAAAAGTGAAAAACCTCTTACTCTTTTCTCCACTGTTTTCTCCCCATTTGCCAAGTACTGCCAATGCCGAGGTCTGTGGTGACCTCACTTCCCAGCACAAACTGGAGGGAAAGATGCTGGCATCTCTTTTTCTCTCTTCGGTGTGTTAGCCCTTACATCATCTTCTTTGTTCTTTCTTGCTCATTCTTCTCACTAGCAGACCTCCCTTCTGCTCTGTAACCTGACAGTTTACCTGAGACGCAGAGAAATACCTCTGCCCAGGAGGACATGAGTGCTCCTGTGAAGGATATATTCATCTATACGTATGCATATAAAATGAAGATTCAGATGTGAATGAAATTGTTACATACAGGGCTGAAGAGCAGGGCTAAAAACTGATGATGGTTTTTACTGAGGTATCATCTTTGCCTACAACTCCTGATAGCACCTGCTCTGGGGCACAGTGCCATTATGAGCATAACTGATCTTGCATATCTGCTCTTTCTCTGCTGCTGCACTTGTAGTGCAGGTAAGCAAGGGCTCCGCATCTGTTTTCACTCATGTTGCTGCAGGGCCTTGTGCCCTTTGTTAAGTGCTGGACCAGCAGGGCCCTCTTCCATAAAGAACGCTGCTGGCAGATGGCAGCATAGGGGCACCAGCTCCACAGGTTGGAGCTTGCCTGGCTTTCTTCACTGGTGTCTTGCAAACCTGAATGTTTACAGACTCAGTATTGCTTGCTAAGCATATAATATAGTGGGTATAAGTCAAAATGAACAAAGGGATAAAATCCACCTTCATTTTCAGTTTGTAATAAAATCAATGAAAAGTAATTTGATTATAAAGTATTTAACTATGATGCTAGATATAAACTACCTCCTGATTGGATTTGGAAGTGAAAGACTCAGAATTAGGGACTGACAAAGTTATGAGCACCAAGCTCATAATCCCACCATGATAAGGGGCCTGAGCTGTGCTGTCTGATAAGGCCTGACCCAGGATCCACCCAAATGAAGACAATCTCTATTAAAATGTCAATGGATTAGCAGTGATTAGAGAATGGAGAATAAAGTCACAGATAGATCTTAGAGGTTCCTACCTAAAACATAAGACACACTGAGGATCCCTTCTACTCTGCTCTCTGCTTTGTAAGACCAAATCTATCTTCTGCTAAATCACTGTGAATTTATGACCCTGGCTTCAGTGGGGTCAAGGTGTCTCCCATGGTACAACTGTTTTCATTATCACCGGGCTCTTGTGAGGCAGATACAGTAACAAGCCAGCCATGGCAAAGAGTCTACCCTGTAATTATAATAGTGCTGTTAACCAGTAGCTGCTTTTATGGACATTGCTTTCCTGAATAATGATCTGTTTATAGTTAATTAAACTAAATTTATTTTTTCTCAAACTGAGTGCTGTGCCCTATTTAGAAGGAGTGACAGGTATCGCAAAGAGTTTATCACCCCCTATCAACGCACCCCATCCTTTTTTTTTCTTTTTCTTTTTCTTTTTTTTTTTAACTCTCCAGAGACTTCCTCAGGATTTAGATCTTTTCAGGTCTAAAACTGCATTGAGTAGTCCTGGCAGCATGGAAGACCAGTGCATAGAGGCTAGACGAGCAGGCTACGGAGAAATGCTTGTGGAATAGCAGAAGATGATGGGTGTGGGGACTGTTCAAGGCAGGAGAGCCAAGGGAAATGTAGGGGGGGGTGTGTTCCGGGTGCACAATGCTATGGAGCCAGAGCTGGGCCGGGTGACATGGTTGTGGTATTACATGGGTAAGGAGAAATTTATACTGAAACTCCTTTTTTTAAAACAAACAAACAAGAACTTGACCTAAATAGCGAAAAAAGGATGTTTGTGCCAGATCAGATCAATAGTTTGTCTAACTTAATAAGCATAGTGTCTAACTGGCATTCACCTGCAAATGTCTAGTGAACTGCAGGAAACCAAGACAAGTGCATAGTGCTGTTTCTGCAGAGTACTCAGATGGTGGCCTGCTTGGTAGTTCCAGAATGAACCCTCTTTAAACAGTCATGTAATTCTGTGGAATTCCAGTAGATGGTGGAATTTGATCAACACTTGATTCTCTGAATCTGTAGCAGCAACTCTAAAATAGAGGCAACCTTACTATTAGACCCCTTTAAATGGAAAAAGAAAAGTTCATTTGTGGGAAACAGGTGATCTTTGACATTATTCAATACATTAAGAGTCTCTGCAAATTAATGAAGCCCCATTACAGATATCATATAATGAAGCAGAGTGTTACTGCTCAGCTCTCCATGAATGACAAGCTCTGAAAATCTCTGATATACTGGGACTGTTAGTTCAAGTTCTTTTTGAACAGTACTGGGATTAATCATACAGGAGGTTCTGCTTGTATGTCATTTCAGGGCTGTTGACAGCATTCTGCTTCCATGTGTTTGCTGTAACCGTTTTCCTGTGAGGCACAGAAACAGCTAGTCAGGCATGTGGCAGTGCCTCTAGAAGCACTATGGGTTACAAGCAGGGCTGTGTTCAGGTTGTGCGATGGGCTGCCTGAACGGCATTACTAGGCAACGTGACAAATCCAAACACCACAACTGAACAGGAAATGTAAGCAGGAAAGCAGTTCTTAGAGGAACTGGCTAATAGGAAATTAGCTTGTCCCCTACTCCTGGGCACTTTCATATTATGTCAAGTATCTGGTCCAATCAGCTTTGATTGTAAAAGCAGCAAGCAGGAATCTCTGTATCGTGTCACAGGATTATATCACTAGAATTCCCTCTGTTCCTCATTCATGTTTAATGACTGGTATCAGTC